CATACAGACACAGGCAACTTCTTCAGCTTTATTTAACAGGCTTTATGACTGACTAGCTTTTTCAAACAGCCAGATTGTGTAACCAGGTTTCAGCTGGCTGGAACTATATTGTATGTACAAAGTGGAAGGATTAGACTGGAAAGAGAGATCTAGGCTTCATCAATCCTTCTTTCTTATCTGCTGCACTGATAGTAGCAAACGGCACTAAATTAAATACAAGGACTTATTCAACATTTACTAACACAACCTATCAGAAAACTTTGCCTGTATAAGGAGAAAAGCCAAACTAATCATTATCTTAATTTACATGCGCAATGAATTCTCCAGTTTGTGAAGTCGCCAGATGGTATGTAAAAGGAAATGGGGTAAAACCAATAGTGGTGTTGATAGGAAAAATAAGAGCAACTTGGCAAAGTGACCAAATTTCTTTTGTTCTTCCCACTGCCCAAAGAGAGCACCCAAAAAAGTGGCCCCCAAGAGTTTAAACCTTTCAACATAAACTTTAATTTTTGTTATAATCATGGTTTCCAATTTAAATCCACTCCTTCCCCTGCTCTGTGTATCTGCCACACACTGATATACAAAACAACGTACGTGGGTAGTCTATTATTTGCTAAGCACTGATAGTATGCCAGGTGCTATACAAGACACAAAAAAGAACAGTACCTGCCTAAGGAGTTTACAGGCTAAAAGAGAGACATAGCTAAGGTAAGATGCACTAGGAGACCCAGAGGAGGCTGATAACTCAGTTTATTGATTTTTAATTTATTTATGAAGTTTAATATGAATTTTAGCTCAGTCCGTCTCCCATGCAGCATTGTGGTGGTGAAGGCAGATAACTGATTGTGAGCCTTGCTGAAGAGCGCCTTTGGAAGAGTTGTCAATGAGGAGAGAGTGAGCCTTTATTGCACTTGGATTGGGAGCTTGTTTTCTGGAAGGATACAGGGGATTGACAGGGTTGGATCAATGGGGGAGGAAGCTATTATTAGTAGAAGCATACTATATGAACAGGGAGGCTATGGTGTGGGAATCGGTGATGCCTAAGAGGAGGCACTTGCTGTAATAAAGGTAGGAAAGGACCAGGGCTCAGTCATGTTCACTAAAATATTGTTTTACAATTTACTCTCTCAGCTGCTGCTCATATGTTTTAATTCAGATAAAAAAAATTGAAGTGTAGATGAAGTGTTTCATCAGGCTGAGGCTCTTCCTGGTTGCCAGCACAGTTCCTTGGACAATAGACAAACAGTGGGGCGGTAGTTAGAGTTGACCTGAGACTGCTTTAACCTGTATTAGAGGCTGAACCTTCTGCTGACTGGCCCCAGAATATGAGGAACATAAAGTGACCACCCTCGACTCACTGAACCTCAATTTCTGCACCAAGCAGAGTTCAGCCAGAACAGAAAATTGGGGCCTGAGGCGTGGCTGCTTTCATAGATGAGTGCCTTACAGCATCGCTTGATTAGAAATTCAGCTTTCACAAAAGCAAATAGGCATCCAGGTATTTTCCCCGTGACACTCGCATACAACTCCCATTGAAGTCACCAGGAGTGTTATGTTCTTCTGAGGACAGATTTTGGACTTCTCTTTATATTAATCTATAATGTGTGCACTTGAAGGAGACTTAAGTAGTAATTGTATCTGTTGTCTGCAGAATGTGAGTTCTTTACATTATTCAAATCCTTAAAATGTAAATCATGCTGTTTTCATAATCTCACCTTTATTGTCAATGTCTCTTTTTCCACGGCCCTTGCACTTTATCCCTCATCCAGTAGTTTCACATTAAGGTTAGCATTATCATGTAAAGCGGCTGCTTTCAAATCCTCTGGAGTTAGTGCCACTGCAGGCAGTGGGGCAGCTGGCACAATTTGGATCTATGTTCTAGGATGAGGAAAGTAACAGATGATCCATGCATGCAAGTATTTTAGAATGTTAGAACAATGCTAGAATGACACAAGAACGCTATGAGTGTGTAGCACAATGTGCCCCGCTTCATTACCATTAAATAGGAAAAACACTAATGAATGAAAGATTAATTTAATGTTGTTAGTCGGTAATAAAAATGATTATTCATAGGAAAAAATGTAACCAGACCAAACAAAAGCCATCCGTGCCTTTGTTAAAGGAATTACAGTATGTTGGAGTAATTGTTTAAGAACCTCAGACAAAGATTATCCTTGTAATGTCACAAGAGTCACTGAGACCTTTGATTAACTTTGGCTTCATCAGTGCAGAATGCATGAATTGAATTTATTCAAAGGCTGACTGAACTGACACTAGCCATGTGGGGGGAAAAGATCTAAGCAGTAAGGTTACATGTGAATAGTTATAAATTTATGATAAAAAATAAAAGGAGAATTACTCCTCGTGCCTGGGACCTAAACTGGAAGTAATTCTCTCCCCCACAGCAGAGTTATAGATCAAGGTGTTTTACATGAGTATTATGCCTTGCTCTGAAGCATTTGGCCACCATTCAAGGCAGAATGCTACTCTGCAGTATGGCAGTTCTCACATCCTTATGCAATTTAACTATCTACCTACTGCCATACATTATACTAGTGGAATGCATCTCGAGCAGTAAGGAGTTTATTCTTACAAGGGACCAATAAGGTAGGGAAGGATTATCTTCATTTTACAGATGGGGAACTGAGGCACAGAGAGATTAAATGACTTGTTCAAGGTTACACAGGAAATCATGTGTCAGAGCCAGAATCACAATCATGGTCTCCTGAGTCTTGATCCTGTGCTGTAACCTTCCTTGATTGTTTGTGCTAATTGTTTTACATCTTTTCTCTGACCTCTTTTGGGCTTATTCATCCATCTTCTTTATCTCCCTTTGCTTGTGTAGCAGCCATTCTCTCCTCTCCCCCCGCCCCCGCTCCTTAGCAGCAAGGGCAGTTGGAAAAAGAATTAAGTTAGATAGAAGAGTTATTTCCGTCTTCTGTCTAAAATATGTCAAACGTATGCAGGGTATTTTCAGAAAGTTCCCTACAATCTTAGTGTAGCTTGGGGTTGAGTAAATATGAATTTTACAGACTTCTAGCATGGGAGGAGTTACTGCATACATTTCTGTTTTCCTTTTTGATGATGATTTAGGTGTTTCTGGATGGATACATCATTTGTGATTTCAAAATATAGCTACTTGCACAAAATTACTGTCTTAAAGGAAAGCTTCTTTTTCACTAAGTTTCCTGTGATATTTGCTAACTATTTGCAAGAATGTAAAGGATCTTCTGGGTTTTGGGGGGACTCTATTTTTTCATGCCTTCCTCTTGATTCCAGACTCCAATGCAGCTGAATTAGAGGCTTCACTTATGAGTTACAGTATATGCAGATCACATGGACACAGTCTCCATGGAAACTGTCTAATTTGTGCTTATATTCAATTAGAGTTGTCCATTACCTCTCCAAATGAAATTTAATTTGAATACATGTTCCAGTCATTTTTTAAAATGGTATGAGATTCCTTTTCTGACACTCAACTGACTAGATTTCTAGGAGGTTGAACGTGAATAAAAAAGTGTATTTAACTATGATAAATGTAGGAATACATGTTACTTTTTCTGAAACTTTTTAAATATTTTCTGATTCTCTTTTCCATACACTATCTGGACTATACTTCCCACTCGTATAAAATCAATTATATTAGCTGAAGCCTAGAGTGAAGCATGACTAGGAACAAACATTTGTGAGTGTCTAAATTAACATTTGCAACCATGTTATTTAATTTGAGTTAATTGGAAATCAGTTAATTCACATTACCACACAACTAAAAACTGCAGACTAGAAAATGTACTAGGCCTAGAAATATACCAGGTGTATACATTTATTAAATACAGCATTGAAATCTGCAAAAACTGTAATTTTGTTTTCATTATAAGTCAAACCACACAAACTACATACCTGATGTGGTGGTTATATAATCTTGGTACCTGAAAAGAAAAGCAGATGTGGCCTAATTTGTAGCCTATTTCAAAGGTTTGAATGTCCACCTAAGAATAACAGTTGTATTCATGAATGTGAGTTAATTAGAAATCAGCTACTCAGGTTACAACTTAACAAAAAGTAGTGTAGAGAAGCCCAGGGTGTCACCGTGTTTGTTCCCTGAAAATGTGTGCCCTGTTTCCCAGTTGGCTAAGCAGTGGGAGACAGGAAGTACCTCCCCCTTCACTTCCACTCACTCTTCTACTTTGGACTACTTGCGCTTTTGATTAAAAAACAGGGTATGGGGAGAAATACTGTGAAAGACCATCTTGACTTAAAGAATTTCCTGGGAACTGTATCAGAAAAAAAAGTGAAGAATAGGACCAAAAAAGGGACATGACAAAGAAAAAATAGAGAATGTAAGGATAAGGATAATTTTAGGTACTTATATGCCCTTTGTTATTGTAGTTTCTGAGCAAGTAAAGTTATTCTACTAAGGCATGGTGAGGCTAAGTGACTCGCCCAAGGTCACGCAGGAAATCTGTGGTGAAGAGAATTGAACTAAAATGGCAAAAAAGTCACAAACACAAAATTACTGGACTTTATACATTCAGACTTCAAAAGATTAAGTCGTGAGTGAAAGAAAATAGGCTGAAAATCATTGATAGCAGTGAAATAAGCAGAGAAAAATGGGAAGCATTTACGACACAGCTGGAGAAGTTACAATAAGAATTATTTCCAAAGTAACTAAAAAAGGAAACCTAGAAGGGCACCAGAAATCAATGTGACTAAGTAGAGATGGAAAAAGCAACATGCAAGATAAACAAAAGGCATTTATTGATACAAAGAATCTGCCCAGGTGGGAAAGTTACAAAACCAAACGAAAAGCATGAAAATAAATTTAGAAAAGGAAGAATGGCAACAAATATTTGAGAATTTAAGATCCCTTTCCTCTCCCCTCCCCCCACACCAATCAGCACATACAGTATGGTGAGTCATTTAAAAATGAATGGCGAGCTTGTAGCCAGGAATATGGAAATATCAGTTATTAAATAGTTACTTTGTTTCTGTCTTTACAGAGGAAGAGGGTGGCGATCTGCTCAAGTCGGGGATCAGTTTTCCGGGGACGACAGAGGAGGAGCTAGGTACAGATATTATCTCTTAGATAACTTTATGCTAAATAAGATTAGAGGCACTTAAAGTAGACTAAGAATCAGGTCTGGATAATATGCAACCAAGAGTTCTAAAAGTAGTGAGCAAGGAAATTGATGGAGCTTTAATTTTTCCTAAGATATCCAGATTCAATTCCCAATTATTTGGGAAGTACTAGAAAAAACCTTTAAAAAAAAAAGACACTAAAGGAAAATAAACTAAGAAAGTATATAGTCTTTGTCAAAATGTTAATGTACCTTAGTAAAGTTCTTCACCCATATGTGCATATTTTCAAATTAATTAAAATCTTAGGGGTGTGGTTTATTTGTTTGTTTTTCTTTTTGAGTAGTTTTGCATTTTGTTAGGAATATTTAGCATTTCTGTCTAGACCGCTAAATTGTAAACTGAAAGTAAATCTTGATCATTATCCTAAAGGGTCTGGTTAGGAAAACCCCCCAGAAGAGCACAGTTTGATTAAGGAGTAGTGATTCAGGGACAGGAGGCCATTGTGTTTAGCTCATCTCTTGGAGTGGGATTTTCAAAAGCAATAGGTGCTGGCCTAACTCTGCGCCTATTGAAGTCAGTGGGAGTTTTGTAGATATCACTAGAAGAATATATGAGTTTTGAAAAACATGCATTTCCCAAGATTGCACATTAGAGATGAAAGGTTAATGGAAAGAGTTATGGGATAAGGCATTAATAGTGCTGGATAGAAGATTGTACTAAGAGGAGATGAAAACTATTCAGTTTAGTAAGGGGTCACAAGTTAAATATTTCCACCTCCACCCTCTGTTTGTTCTCATACTGTAAGGGGGCAGACATGGTTTAAAATTGTGGTTCAGTAGGATCCCTATCAATGGACGCAACACCGGATTACTATCAATGGAGGCAACACTACGCCTACCTTTTATGCCACTCTGACTCCCAGCTGTCCCCTTCCCTAGCATGTGGGAGCTGTAGACACTTTGTGCTACTGTAGCCTACCTACTGGGAACTTTTCCCTGCAGGATTTCTGAAGACAAAGCAAATAATATATAGGTCAATGCAAGCTGGTGCAGAAATATGTGGCTCCTTTAGGTGATTGGGTAGGCAGTAGCTAGTGGAGTTCCATGTAAGCAAATGGAAAATAATTAATCAAGGAATAAGAGACCAGCCTTGGGAATGTGTGCTAAATTGATCTATCATCCAGCATCCTGATTAGGAAAAGATTGTGGGGTTATTGCATAATATTAATTAAAACCAGTAGCAAATGTAAAGAATGATCAATAAGAAAAAAAGCTGCATCAGCAAAGGAACAGAGGACACAAGAAGAGGTGATATTGTTACAGTATAAGCATTCACTAAATATTGTGTGCTGTACTTGTCATACCACACAAGTATTTGTGATGGGTCGGACCCCCCTTTTGGGGTGCCACTGGATATGCTGGGGTCTTACCGAGTCCGCCTGTCCTACCAGCCTGGGTTTCCCTTACTCTGTGCTGCTGTGACAGGCTCTCAAGCCTCTTTCTAGCACACACAGAGGCAGGAACACATCCGGCAGTAGAATCACACAGAGTCTGGGATTAGCTCTCTGTGGGAGGATTCAGCTAGGGGAATGCCGAGCTCTCCTGTGCACACACCCTCTGGAGTGTAAACCCAAAATGATATTGTCTTGCACTGAATAGAGATCTATATAGTGTAAGCTCATAAAAATCGCCCCCTCCCTCGAAGTGGAGGGAGATATGCACAACTCTTTGCCCTCCACCCCCTGTTATGAATTGCACAAACTGGGTTTTGGAATAAACAAAAAATAAGTTTATTAACTACAAAAGGTAAATTTTCAGTGATTATAAAGGATAGCAAACAGAATAAAGTAGATTACTGAGCAAATAAAACAAAACACGCAACCTAAGCTTAATTCACTAAAGAAACGGGTTACAAATAGTAATTTCTCACCCTAAATGTTGTTTTAGGCAGGTTGCAGAGTTTCTGCAGCCTAGCATTCCATTTATTTCTCTTCACAGGCTAGACCCCTGTCTCAGCCTGGACTCAGCCCTTGCCTTTCCCCAGCTTAGTTCCTTTGTTTCTTTTGGTGCTTTCAGCAGTCTTCCTTCTTGTGTGAAGAGGCAGTGGAGAAGAGCCCTGATTGACTCACTTTCCAGCCTTAAATAGGATGTACATAAGACAGAAATCCTTTATTTCCAATGGAAAAAATACCAGCAGTGTCCAAAGTGGTACTCCCTACCAGGTGACATTATCACATGATCTTTTAGTGTTAACGCCACCATGAGACAAGGTTTATTTGTAACATCCACAGGAAGGAACTCCAGGAAGATGAGAGATCAGCATCTTCAAAGACCCATTCTATTGTCTTTCCTAATGGCCCATTCAGGCTGATTGCCTACTGTCTGGTAGGCGTTCCCCAAGTACACACACAGTTGTAATTGTTACATAGTCAATATTCCTAACTTCAGATACAGAACTGATACATGCATACAAAGTGGATAATCACATTCAGCAAATCATAACCTTTCCAATGATACCTCACATGTCCCATCTCGCATAAAACATATCTTAGTTATGCCATATTCATATCACAACAACATTTTTATGAAGAATATGGGGTGCAGCATCACAGTATTGTTCTCTTGGATTCCAAGTCCAAAGAATCTGAGGTCCCCATTCTTCCCATAGAGGAGAATAACCTATGTAGGGGTAGGAAGTTCTGTGAGTTTCAATTTAAGTTTCCAATTAATTCTTCCCTCATGGACCTTTTGTGCATCCTCCCACCTTATTTCTGCAGAAGAAACCAGGGATTCTGCTTCCTTAACTGACAGATCACCAAGATATGTGATAGACAAGAGGCATCCTCATGGCAATTTTATGTAAAGGCTCGGTATGCATTATTTCCATTTTATTACTATGTGAACCAGAATAAGATGTCTCTGATGTGGAGTTTGGTCCTGTGCTCATTGAAATCAGCAGGAACCAGATCGGATCCTAAAAGAGAAACTTTCTTTTATCACTTGTACTCTAACCCAAACAACAGTTAGTACAGGAGAAATGTAGGCAACTATTGTCCCCAGCAGGATATGGGTAATTCCAATTGAAATCAGTGGAAGTCTCCTATTGGCAGAGAATAGGGCTCCTGTTTTCTAATATTAAAGTGATTTTAGAAACAGCCTGCAGTAGAGAAAAAAGACATGATGTCTTTGATGCACTCCATTCCCATAGGTGTGGGCTTTTGATCTGAGCATAGAACGCTGACCCAAGAAGTCCTGGTTTTGACACCGATTTGCCCGTAGTCTAGGACAAATCACTTAATCTCTCTGCCTCCATTCTCTTGTTTCTAAAATTTGGATAATATTACCTGCCTAGCTTTCAGGGATATTGTCAGGATTAACTAATGTTTGTACAGTATTTCACAAATTTAAAAGCACTGTGTAAGTGCCAAATAGAATTATTAATAATCCCCTGCATAAAGTTAGAGAAGCTATCAAGGGACAGGCCCAAGATCAACTCTGTCATAGTATTGATTCTGCAAAACAGCTCATCAGTTTATACAGCCAAAAGCTTATTGGATTCTTTTAAAAAGGCTTACCAAAGCTTTTGAACCCACTTTATTCTCTAGAGTAATATTTCAGAGGTTTCTACATTGTTGTTTCTTTAATGGAGATCACAGTATGGAAAGAGCTTTCGTTATTATGAAATCTACTATCCAGTTTGATCCAGCATTCCTCCCATACCCAAATCCCCATTGTTTCCATTGGGAACATCCATGAGAGGCAACATGGTCAACAAGGAAGGGCCTGGGAGTGGGAGTCATAAAGTCTGACATGCTGCGTGACCTTGAACAAGTCACTTCAAATCTCTGGCTCTGCAAAACTTAAGTATTAAAACTTGCCTGCCGCAGTGCAATATGTTGAGATCTATGATGATGTGTGATCTCTAAATACACAGTTTTATTAATATTATTATTAATGTAGGATTGGGCCCATAGAGACTAGCATTCTGTGAAGCTATGCTTTATGCTAGTATTTAAACTGTAAAGTCCTAGGGCAGGGGCCTCGTCTCGTTTTGACCTGTAAAGTGACTATTGACTTTGGACACCACAAAATAATGCTAGTCTAAGGTCACTGAGAGAAATAAGGAAAATTTATTATATTTAAAGGGACCAAATTGTAAAAGAAAAGTTTGGAGGTGGGGGTTGCATTTCAAAAAAGCTTTAATGGGTGATTTTCATCCTGGAATAAATAAGGAAAAGATAACCATTATCAAAAATGTATTGGGACACTTGATTTTTTTATTCCCATTGTAGCAGTAAAGATATTTGTGTTTTACAAGTTTTTACCACTCAGTGGGCAGCGTCTTGTGTTTGACTCTATTCATATGAAGAATTGCTGTAAAAAGGGTTTTAATGTCACAAATTGAACATTATGGCTTAAGGCAGTATTAATAGGAAAGAAAGTTAGGATGAATACAACTTTTTCTGAAATAAACATTTAAACCCGGATCCTTCAATTTGATCTGTCTCACTAGGTATTTATACAACCCTCATCACTGAGCATCTCTCAGTTATTAAATGATTTTACCCTCATAACTCCCTGGTGAAGTAGGGGGAAGTATTATCCCCATTTTACAGACTTGCCTATGGTGTCACAGAAAGTGTGAATAAAACTCAACACTCCTGTATCCCAATCCAGTATCCTATCCACTAGACCATCCCTCTTCCTAATGGTGCCTGATGGCAGACCATTACATCATCATGGAATGTAATGGGAGTCAATGGGACTCAGAAGCCCCTCTCCCCCCAAATTGCAGGAGCAATATGTACATTTGTAATTATTAAACACACTAAGAAAAAATGGATCTTAGGTACTTATATGGCCCCCATTAGGATCTGAGCACCTCACAATCTTTAATGTATTTATCCTAACAATAGCCTCGTCAGGGAGGGAAATGCTATTATTCCCATTTTACATATGGAAACTGAGGCACAAAGTGTCTAAGTGAC